AACACAGTCATGCAATATTAATGTGCACAGCAGCTACAATAACAAATTTGATATAAAGAGACCCCGAGCAGGATGCACTTGATATATTGTGATGTGGGGAAGTCCATAATACATTGGCTGCAATTGAATTTAGAGCCTGGTGAGATAGATGCTAGTTCCTGATAAATGGCTGCTGTACACACTCTCTCCCTTACAGTACAGTGAGATAAAGCCAATGGGGCTTTCCTAGCAACCATATCGCAGGGATTCCTACCCCTCCTCCTTGGGCTCACACTGATTAGCAGTGAAGCGGCAGAGCCTCATCCACTGTGTCATCATTCATGACACACGTGTTGTCCTTTTTCCCCTCTTCTTCTGCTGGTGAATCATTGACACCCTCACACAGCCAATGAGAACAGTTTATGTGCAGGATACTTGTGGGGATGACCATGGTATATGATATTTATAAGTCCAATATGTACACATAATATTCAGAAGAATATTAACATTTACCATAGGCCTGTTAAACCAGCCTAATTCATGTGTAAAGAAGTAGCTACATTGTATAATGGCATATGTAGTGAATGTATGTTAATAAAGGTTTTAGCAATGAAGATCACCAGCACTCAAATAAGCACTCAAATAATAAGATAGATCCAAGTGTTCTTTTATTCAAAGCAGCATGTCACAAGTGTCAAACAGCCTACGTTTTGGAACAATGCAGGGTCCCTATGTTTGCCCTGATGAAGGGACCCTGCGTGGTTCCAAAACATTAGCTGTTTGACACTACTGGTGATCTTCATTGCTAAAACCTTGGATATACACGGCGCCATCCGTGGACATCACTACGAGCACCACCACTATCTGAAAAAGCAGTCTCCATTGCTGTATGGTGTGCAGGGGATATCTCTGTTCATAGTATGTTAATAAACAGACAACAAAAGCTTGTTACACTTTTATAAACATACGTATTAAATAATTTAAAGTGTCAGTCTATACAAAGCTGATATTTTATTCTTTAATAAATGCTGAATAGTTAAACTATCTCTCGGGAATTGTACTGGTGAGATATCTGCGCTTGAGTTTCTGGCTCTGGATACCTACTGTGGCTATCATGTGGGGTTCCCCTTCTCCCTGTTGGATTGGGGGATGAGCTCAGGTTCAGATCAAATCCAAACCTGAGCTCCTATGAATGTGGAAGGAGCTCCTTTCAACCTGGAAGGAAGCTCCTTCTGCTGCCAGTCAGTTGAGGCCCAGTAATTTCAAGCTATATATAGGCTGAGCTATGAATGGTCAATAGCATTGACCTAGTATGGTCATGTGGCCATATAAGGTCAATGACATCAGCAGAAGCATTTCGCCCCTTTGTTTATGTGCAGATGCTGGGCAAATGCAGCTGATTGGGCCAGTGGTCCATGGCCCTCTGTGCTTAAAGGAGCTCAGGTTCAGACTGGGTCCGGACCATGCTTGAACTCATCCCTAACTTTCTATTATAGGAAATGTTACAGCAGGTGCCAGAATATAACACATGAACAGGAACACCCAAAACTTGAGGTCAGAGAGTAACACAGAATACATTGCAGTGTACTGTGTGCATTGTATAACTTAGCCAGGTCTGTTTTCCTTTTAACACTGGACTGGAGGTGAAGACAGGAAGACTACCACATTCTGTGTTCTCTCTGTTTCCCAGGTCTTGAGCATGTAGTTTACCATTGCCACTCTTTAATTATTTGCTTCTAGGGCAGCGCATTGTTTTGTGATCTTCAACAGCTATTTGATCTTTTCCTTTGATGCACAAAGCTTGTACCCTTTTTATGTGGCTTGTCAGTTTTGTTGCTTGGAGTAGTTTTCAGCGCAAGAATTTGGGTGCCAAGAAAAGAACCCTAAACTATCTCTAACTATAAAACAGACTATAACAATAATCTTCCAATACCCCAAACATTGACAAATTGGTCGCCATATTCTACAATACCACAGTTACTACTTATTTTGCAAATGTTAGTTCCCTGGGCAACCATCTAGTTTCAATACTCATGATGAGTGAACTGACCTTGGTTTGGTGAATTTCCAAATGGAACCCAGGACCACCTGTGTCCTAGCAACCAATGCTGATGTGCAATCCACACACTGTCAATGGTTGATAGTATGTAATGGATGGTTCTACCATTGGTTGCTAGGACACAGGTGACACGCCATAACAACTAATGATGTTGTGGGGCCACCAGTGTCTTATCAACCAATGATGCTTTGTGGCCCACACAGCATTATGGGTTGTTATGATGCACTCACCTGCATCCTAGCAACCATTGACACTATACAGCTCAGTCACCAGTCAACCAATGATACTGTGCAGGTCACCGTCATTGGTTGCTAGGACACCGATTGAGGTTCGGGGACGAGCAAACTTGCTAAATTGTTCACCCATTTGGCAAACTGCAAACAGCTTGTGTTTAGGTCAAACTTATGGTCAATCCGAACCTGAAGCTCATCCTGATTTAATACTTTGTGTTACTGACCTGGAACAAGCAGTTAAAAGTATATCTGAAGCCGTCGTCTTAGCTTTGGGGGAAATCTTTCACTGTCCAGTTACAGGCTGGGGGAAAGAGAAGACCATGCACCCCGTGTGACAAAGCTGTGTAAACCAAAGGACTGAATGGATATGAATCCTTTGACAGGTGAACTGCTCTAATAAATGTATTTCACCTGTGTATGTAGCTGTTTGGAGTTCAGTTTTAGCCCACATTCACACCATAGCGTTGCGGGAATGTGTGTCACAATAACGCATGTCTTATTGGTTTGGCGCACATCAAAATTTAATTTAATGGGTTCCTGGACATGCACCAAAACGGGGAAAGCAGTACATGTCACAAATTCTGTGACATGCATCCCTTGTTTTTTTTCTCATGCATTCTCACACACGCAAATGTGCAGGAAACACATTTTCTCAGCTGCACTTCAGGTGCTATTATTTATTACTGGCATTACAGGCGCGTTCCGCGTTTTGCTAATGAAGTGAGAACTTTTGTGCGTGTTTGACGCATGTTCACATACCCTGGTGTGAACGGGGACTTAAGGACCTCTCACTTGGTCTTGTATTGCCCCCCTCCTGTAGTTATCTGTAGACAGTCTGTGGTTGATGGAGCCTGCTGACTCCCTCCCGCAGCTCTGTTCTCTGCACCAGCTATGTGCGGCACAGTGATTATGGCACTGACATTTGTATTTGATAATATCTGGGTTTGCAAAGACATTTGGTTTCTGCAAAGTGGATTCATATCCTTTGTGACTATTGGGGAATATATTTAAAATGAGTTCAGCTTTAGAAAGAAAAAGTGAACCAATTCACAACACCCTCCTCACCATGCAGCTGCAACGGCCAATGAGGATTTCTTCTGAGTCATTTTTTTCCCAGATAAAAGAAGAACGACCATTGGTCGCACGACCGCGCTGATGTTGACCGCTCCCCCTCGCAAGCATTATGTTGCTCTACAGCCTCTGGGGCTTTACAGTGACTTTTTTAAAACACCGGGACCGTTATATGGACTGGTGTGGGAGGCAGGTGATAGTCATCATTGCAGATGAGTGCAGCAGGGACCAGGAAGGGGGTGAGGAGGGTAGTTTAGGGTTAATTCACCTTTTCCCTTTAAGCCATGTCCAGGGAAGAATTGTACTGTAGCATTTGGCATCACAGGGCTGTCTCTTCTGGGAAGAGTCTTGTATTACTCAGTGCTGCTTTTCCAGAAGTAGAATGAGTTCTCTGGCAGCTCTCAGGGAACGTGTGTGTGTGTGTGTGTGTGTGTGTGTGTGTGTGTGTGTGTGTGTGTGTGTGTGTGTCCCTCTCTTATTTATAGAAGAACAAGCAGCTCACCGCCATGCCTGTCACTGGCTTCCCCTATATGCGATCACTGAGCACTAACACGGACGTTGTTCTTCCTACTCTGGGGAACCATAACAACCAAGAGCAATGCTAGAGAAAGACAAATACACCTTAACCCTTCCCTCTGCTGACTGTGCCTGGCAACTCTTCTTCCCTGGAATAAAGAAGGCTCATATTGTCCATGCATCAACGTCCCGATCATAGGCAAATCTATTAAAACATGCAAAGCAGCGAGCTGAGAGGCAGGTGACATTAGGTTCCCTGGGCAGGAATGGGTTAATGAGCATCCATGAAAAGCAGCTCTTATTATTAGCCATGAAGAGTGACACCTGAAAGGGAAGCTTTTGTGATCAGCAGGGTCAGAGGGATGTTGTGTATTTAAAGAGGTGAAATACTTGGGTTCCAGACATTATAAGGTTAACCGCTATCCATGAAAAGCAGCTCCTTTTATTAGCTATAGATATTGATACCTGGAATGGAAGCTTTCCTGATCAATAAAGGGTTTATTTAAAGAGGTGAAGACATCTGGTTTCAGCCATTGAAGGGCTAACAGACATCCACGTACAGCAGCTCTCATTATTAGCTATAGATATTGCTACCTGGAAGGGAATCTCTTGTGATCAATAAAGGGTCAGTGGATGCTGTTTATTTAAAGAGGTGAAAGGTGAGATTTTCAGCCACTGACGGGGTTAACAGGCATCCATGAACTGCAGCTCCTATATTATTAGCTATAGATATTGATACCTGAAAGGGAATCTTCTGTAATCAATAAAGAGTCAGTGGATGCAGTTTATTGGAGGAGGTGAAAAGGTAAGGTTTCAGCCTACAAAGGGTTAACAGGCATCCATGAACTGCGGCTCTTTTTATTAGCTATAGATATTGATACCTGGAAGGGAATCTCCTGTGATCAATAAAGGGTCAGTGGATGCAGTTGATTGGAGGAGGTGAAGAGGTTTCAGCTTGCGCTGGGAGCAGAGAGTGTCTTGAACTGTGCTCTGGACAAGTGTGACTGACAGCTGAGAGCTGAGCCGGGAGCGCAGGAAGGGTTAAAGGATGAATGGGTTAAAGCTGTTCTCAGAATAGGATTCCCCCGGCCCCCCCTCTCCCTCTCCTCTCCTCCCTCGTCTTGTTCTCCTCGGGATTTCTTGGCTTTGGTGAGGAGCACTTGCCGATCTGTTGCTGCTGTCCTTGGTGATGCAGAGCTCAATCCAATTAGCTTTCACCTCTAGATCCTCTGAGCCAGATTGTGGAGATCCAGCCCGGTCTATCTCTCAGTCTTGTACGCGTGTGTGAATGTGTGTGTGTGTGTGTGAGGGTGTGAATGTGTGACTATGTATCTGCAGTTCGGTGTCTCCAAGCTGGGCTGAGCTGTGTGCTCTTCCATTCCACAATCCATCCACAGCCGCAGCACACAGCAAGCCCATCATCACATGGAGGAGAAGAAGAAGAAGATGCGCTCCAAAGAAGACTGAATCCCTAACTAGAAGCTCCATGGCACTGGCACCACTCTGCTCCTACCCCTACCTGCTCCACATCCTCCTATAGACTTGTAGAGCTCTCAAACAAGCAAGACATGGGACAAGACCATCTGGTCCAACTGAGCATGAAGTGTCTTCTACAGAACATCTAGTCACCTCTGGATTGGAGATGAACCCAGGGCTACTGGGGGCTGCTCAGCTTGTCTTTAAGCCACTTTAAGCAAGGTAAGTAGATGGGGGGGTGTTTCTCCTGTACTCTCAAGTCATTGATTCATTTCTGCTCACCCTGGTGTTAGCTCTCAAGGAGGCTGATGAAAAGAAGGGCCAAATGCCATGAAGTTGAGAGACTTAAAGGGCAGCCAAAGCTTACCCTGCGCTATCATGATCATCATGATGACTGTCACCACCATGTTGTGTTCAAGTGTCTCCAGAGCCATACCATTTCTCTGGGGGGGGGTTTCTTCCAAAAGTGTGCAGAAGAGATGTGGTGTATTTATCACTCTCATAAGTGCAATGTTTCTTTTGGAGAGGTAGCTATTGTAAACAATGAAGCATACAAGCATACATACACCCAGTGTACCCAATCTATTATATATGAAGAGAGATGTGTTTATTTTTCTATGTAATTATGCATGCACTGCGGCTGCTATACACAAACAACCCACCGTCGTTACACCAAGCAATGTATAAATGTGTTCTATAATTTAACAGTTCCAAGCAAAAGAGCCAAGTCATATTCACTGCTCAGGACTATAGAATTAGATCTGTAATTCGAGCAAGATTTAAACCGTCTCCAAGTATGTGACACATGAAAGTGTTTGCTTCCCTTAATGACACCATGATGAAACAATGTTCTGTAGTGTAGCATCATCTATAAATACTTGTATGAATAAACTGACATACAGGGCTTTCATACCTACTGCTGCTGTAATCCAGGCAAATCAAGTTATGTAACATTTTAATCATGAAGAATGTATCTTTTTTGAGGTTATACAATGAAAGGCTATTTCACTGCTTCATTCTCTTTTATGATGCTATGCCTAAGTGACTGGTGATCCTTAGATAGCCATTAATGAAAGTTCAATAAATAAAAGGTAGCACAAAATGTACTGGTCTATAAAAAGTTTAACAAGTGTGTGTCTTTGTCTAACTTAGCCGTGTGATCTGTCATTTCTCTCAGGGAACAATGGGCCTACATTCCCTAGCAACATTTTGAAGGCCTTTAAGGCTTTTACCTGTACCAGATGAAGGTCTATGAACAAGTGCAGATAATATCGTGGTCATGGTCAGGTTACGACCTTCATCGTGAGGTGCTTTTTACAAATCGCCGCTCATTACGTTTTAGCCTTGTCAAACATTCACTAGGAGAAGCATTGATTCTCCATGGACCATTTAAACCATGCTACTGGCAACACATCCTTCAAAGTAAAAGAAAGAAATGTATATACTATTGCAAGAATATGAACTCATCACCGACTTAGGTACACCTTAATATCTTAAGGTGCAAAGAGCAATCAGATTACAAGATGTTAGAACCAAAAAAACGTTTAGAGCAGATAGACTGAAAATATTTTAAAATAAACCACAAAGTCTGTATAGAGAACATTAGAGAAACATTGCTTCTATAAGTGCATGTGTACATTGTGTGTGTGTGTGTGCATGTGTATGTATGTGGGTATATATATATATATATATATATATATATATATATATATATATATATATATATATATATATATATATATATATATATATATATATATATATATATATATATATATATATATATATATATATATATATATATATATATACATACACACACCCACACCTTCTTGATATTAAGGTATGCAGTACAAGTTGGTTGGCCCTGTTGTGGCGATGTAAGAAAACTTTCAATTTAGAGGTGTCAAGAGTTTTTGAAGTTCATGCTTTCAAGCAAGTTGCTTCAAGTGGTGTGGCACTAAAATGCAACTCAACTATTATTTGTTTAGAATTATATATCAATTCTTCAATTCTGATTTCTTCTGATACATCTGCTAGAATAGTAAATTTGCCATTGGAAACGGTGCAAGAATGTTGTCTTGCTAGATTCTGCTTTAATTCAGATCAGAAAAGCACTTAGAAGCTGGAAAGCTTGCTTATGACATGACTGTTATGCAGAAAAGGTGCAATGACAGGTGCAATGGTGTGTCACAGTGGTGGCTGGTGCAATGACATTGAAGGGCGAGGTGGAAAATTGAATATGTAGAGCATATTAGGTATGTTGTTAGAGATTAGGAAATTGTATCACCCCCTGAGCAAAGATTAATATTAGTTGCCAGTCTCTTATTACAGTCTTGGAGAATGCTACTAGCTACCAGTATGCAGCATTATTAGGTGACGCTCATGCTTGGCTTTGTTACCACATAACACTTGTATTTCACTCGTCCTCAGACAGGTCTTCCTGCAGGTCACCATGTGGTTGGTTTGGCTTAGATATGGTGACTATCTGAATGCCTTATTGTCATTTAGGTTTATCACTTGTAATTATTTTTTTTCTAGGTCATTTACAAAAACAACAAGAGAAAGCCTGTAGAGTGATATATTCTGTCTTACAGGGAAAGGATGAGGAGCCTGAAACCAATACATAATGGGAACTGTCATATGTAATAAGGACAGAACTAGATTAAGACCTTGGATACATCTTATGTTGGCTCATTTAGCAGGCTGGTAGGGTCAGCTATATATTAGTAGTAATGATATATATGAAATCTGTGCCTATGTTGATGTACGTGGATAGTTGCTTCTGTAAATGGCCCATAAAGCCAATGCTTGCTTAGATTAAATTTTCTTAAATAACCAAGAAACCTACATCCATAGGGCATTTTCAATAAACACACCACTGCATGAGGTCTTCTTATTATTGCTGCCAAACTGGTAGATGTCTAGACTTCTTTTACTCATTTATACAGCACTTTATCCTCAGCACTTTACAGAGAAAGCTGAACCATTCACATAGGTCTGGTTCCACAACAGAGCTCATAGACTACTGTCACTATCACAGTTAAGCACACAGTATGGTACTGAATGTTTTTGGGATAAAAGCCAATTAACCTACTCTTTGGTCTTTGGACAGTGAGAGGAAACCCATGCAGACACAGGAGACTGGATATAGCATCCTTGGTGGGATATGGACCCCGCACCCATCAAGGTAAAAGAATGATAGCCACTTAGCCCCTCATGCAGCCTGTTGATCATTTTTAAATGATCAGACTTTTGGGAACTCCATTTTCACTTGACATACAGTATATATCTATTATTCTGTAAAGGCTGGGAGAGCTCTGAATTACTTCACATGGAGAGCGTAGCAGCGGATTATCTGTCTATATCATAAAGAAAAATAGTGGAATCATCTGAAATGTCCCAGCATCATGAAATCCCTTTCCTCTGACACCACATCAAAATAATGTACACGCTTATGTCTTCCAGTTTGGCTGTGCAAAGCAGAAAACCTGAAGCTGTGGTGGCATAATGTGAAACATTGGAGTGCTCATAGTAATGGACATATGTGTTTTCTAGAAACCGCCCCAAAGCCAGGTATAACAAGGAGGCAATTTCGTAGGCAAGCCAATATGTGATTGTTTCAGTAAGCAGTGCAAAAAGCAATGAAAATATGCAAAGCGCAGCCAATAGTAATTTGTCAGATTTTAGTTTACTGAGCTCAGGCCGTTTAAGATTTCTGAATGTCTGGGTTACTGAAGTTTGCACATCTTCATAGGGTTAACAAGAATTTTCTCTATAGGCCTCTGTGCAGGGTCGTCATAGAACACATTTATGAAAGACTCTTGACAGTAGTGTCATGCTGAAAGTCATTTGACTACAAACAGTATAACTTTTTAACAAAGTTTAAAGAGGAACTCCAGGATTTATTCAAACTAACCCTTGCAGTGGGACTACCGCCGCACTTCCAGGGTTAACTGTATTTTGGTCATGGGTGGAAATAAAGAAGATATACTCACCTGATTCAAGGTCCTGCATGGCTGCTACACAAGCCCATGCAGACTCTTCTCCCCTGGGCTCTGACGGTCTAATGCAGGTCCGTTAGATATGAGGATGCCGAGGAACATACCACAGCCAGAGTGGAGGGAGAGAGAGGTGAGTGGTCACTGCTGCAGGAACAAGGGTCAGGTGAGTGTGTCTTCTTTATTTTCACTCGTAGATCAAACTAAGCACTTAAACCTTGCAGTGCGAAATTAAACCTGGTTAGTGACAAAATCTGAATGTACTTTTAGGAGCGTCATGTCATTTGCTCATTTCGTAGAATAGCATTGAACAGTACTGCAGGCTTGTGAAGGACCAGAAGAATATTTGTCTTAAAGTTATCCAATAGTCGTGAAAATAGTTGCAGCAACCTCTGCCTCCTTCTTCAGCCCAGCTTTATAAATTGTGTCTGTAAGGTTTTGTGTTAACACATATATTTGTGACCTAGGTTGTTGCATACAGTAATATGGGACAGCTATCTGTGAAGATGTTAAGGATACCGTGAGGAGGATTTATTGTCTGTTGGAGGCTTAGAGCCAGATTTTCTTATGGAATTATGTATAGTTTGAAACTAGTGATATCCCTTCTTGGTTTGAGTGGTGGTGATGTCTATCTTTTCATTGGTCCCCTGCAGCCTTATCTTCTTGCATACTGTCTCTAGCAGAGTTTACATGATTTAATTTTTTTTTAATGTTTGAATGTTGTTGTGCTTTGATTTTTTGAAGTGGACAGTGGACAGCCGGAGAAGACTGCATTTACTTTCTATTTTGCAGGGACAGTTTTTATTCAGGGTTTTATTATAGAAAGAATCCCATTAAAGTGACACTAAACTCAGGAGTTGGATCTGAAACATGCATTCAAGTACCTTTACTATTAATAAAAAATGTATCTTATTTGTGTATCACTCGGCTGTAGAGCCTCAAATCATCTCTGAATTGGTACTGACACTGTCCTTCCTTCTGGAGGGTGGCTACTTTTGTTTCCTATGGTCTCTGTGTGTGTTGTAAAGTAGTCAGCACTCCAAGCTCGCTCCTGTGATGGACTATAACTTCAATACAAATTAGTAAACAAAACATGAGATCACAGGAGCGGGTGGTGGCTACTTTACAACACACACAGAGACCATAGGAAACAAAAGTAGCCACCCTCCAGAAGGAAGGACAGTGTCAGCACCAATTCAGAGATGATTTGAGAATCTACAG